CCACCACAGTGCATTTTTGGGAAGATGTCTGTAGCATATGTTGCTGTGAAATTAGGCCTTGTTGGGATATGGCTGTTTGTCATTATGATGTATTTTAAATAAATATAAATATATATATATTTTTAAAGAGCCTTTTTTACCAGTTCAAGAAGCTTAATTAACCAGCAGTCACCACATCTGAATTTTGTCTCTGGGGCATAGATGGCAGACCAAGATTAAAAGTGGTAACTCAATGATGCCATCTGCCTGTCTGGCTGTCCTGCTGCCCTGCTGACCATGGGACACCAAGGTCATTGTGTTCCCAGTGGGTCCAGGCTCAGCCCTCTGAGTGTTTGATCTTTGCCCCTTTCAGTGGACTGTTAAGACTTCAGTCCCTGCAAGTGCTTTAGCCCAAGTGGGGTTTTCTCAGAGCACTGCCATGAGTTAAGTGTATGTTTAGCCAAATAATTTCTCGGTAAGGGAAAAATGCAGTCATCCAAATTTTACAACAATGACAGAGATGCGAGTAGGAAAGATTAGGCAACATCTGAGTTTAATTTGAAAAGTGTCCAAGTCATTGTCAGGCCATCTAGGAGCGAATGATTCGCTAGAGATTCTTTGGGAGACCCCATCTGAAATATTAAGACCACCAGTGAGGGGAACAAGTGTTAAAATGCCAGCGGCTTTTCCCTCTCATTTTTTTTTTTTTTGAGAATTCTGTAAAAATGCAAAGAAAATTGAGTGGTACTTTAGAGTTGAAGGAGAGAGTTACCGCAGATTAGAAACATATTTCTAGATTTCATTTCCATGCCACAAATCCACATGATGCCATTTTTCAACTGTACAGAAGAATCTGCTTTTGAATCTGACATAATTGTAATGGTAATGTCAAAGGCCAAATTTTCACTTGTTAATACTTTTCCACATTTGTCCTTGAATCTAAATAACTTTATACAGTACTATAAATTTAACTTACATCGAGTTTGATGTCAATTCTTGTGAAAAGAGCTTTCTGCATATAATAGACATACAGTTAAAGAACACAGCAGAGTACAAAGTTTTCAGGAACAGTTTTGGAACCAACAGAAAATGTCACCTTTTATTTACCATCTTATATATCAGTTTTACCAGCTACTTCTGAATTTGTACATTATTTGTAAGGAAAAGGAGGAACACCCTAAGACTTGTCTAACCTAGTGGAGAATGTGTGTGTTGGGCTTAGGATGGTAGCTAAGTCTTATTGAGCTGTGTTATCTAACTTGTATATACAAATTGTAATTAAAAGTTTGGATTCACCTGTTTCTCACAGTTTAAAATGACAAGTAATCACAAACTCTGGAATTGTGACTAGTGTATGATTTAAGACTGTAGAAGCAAGGAAGCTCTCTCAAGTGCTAAAACTAAAAACTTATAGTTTTTGGCTCAAATTCAATAAGTACTGTTTGTATACCAGGATATGTGAGATGTAAATGTAGTAGGTCACTTTTCACCCTTGTAGCTATACAATAAAAATTTTGTAGAACAGAAATAGCTTGTACTACTGAATTAACAAAAGTTATACTAAAGTATCATGTTTAAAAAAAAAAAATATATATATATATATACA